GAGAGAGCAGACTCACCAGCACTTAGGGCAGCAGACGCACTAGCACCTGGGGCAGCAGACGCACTCGCACCTAGAGCAGCAGCCTCAGCAGCACCTAGAGCAGTGGCCTCAATGCCCGGTTCAGGCGGTACACACAGGTAACAGTCACCCTTAACACTAGTAGTCACAGAATACATGGCAGCAAGGATAGCATCATAGTCAAGATCAAAGACGGCAACCCTCGCCCTAGACAGATCTCCCCAGCGAGGGATCTCTGACGCCTCAGGGAATTGGCAACGCCATGCGTCCGTCAGGCAACCGAAGCAGCGCTGGGTGGAGTGCGGCCTCCGCACTACTCACCAGCTTGGTCGCTAGAGAGGGCCTTCTCGAGGAGGTCAACGTTGAAGGTGGTGGGGCAAACTGAGAGGAAGTGGTCCTTGACTACGCGGGGAGAGTCAGGGAGCCGGGTGACTATGTAGTAGAGGGTGATGTACATGGGGGGGGGGGGGGGGGTTTGGCGCAGAATTCAGCAGAAAGCGCAGCGCGGTAGCGAGTGTCACTAGTGCGGAGGTGCGTAATGAGGTCAGCGACTGTGGGAAAGGCAGCAAGGTCAGGGAAGAGGTACGGTAGCATGAGGCGGCTCAGTGCAGCTGTGGCAATGGAAGAGTAGTGGGCAACTACAGCGTTGTACAAGGTCTGAGCACTCTTGTACTGGCTAAAGTGCGCACGCTCAGTGGTCGGTAAGTGGTGGCGCACAGCAAGGCGAGCAGCAGCATCGCGGGTGGGCCACTGTGAGCGAACAATGGCGTCAGCATCAGCAGCAGGGGCAGGAGAGGCACCAGAAGTGAGGTCAAACAGGGAGAGGCCGTCTGCCCTATCGCACTGTAGGAAAAGCCGCAGATCATCTACCCAGACCTTAAAGTCAGCTGCCCGACCCTTAGCGTCAAAGGTGAGAACACTAGGGGAGGCCGTGACAGTAGTAGACAGGTAGAGAGTACAGTGGGGCAGGGCAGTGCAGTGGCAGAGACGCTGCTCTTACCAGGCAAGTGGGGCGGTCCCGGGCAGGGCGACAGGTGGCAGCGCCTCGGTTGCGGTGCGGCTCGGCAGCTCGGCTGCTGGGCGGCTCGGCGGTCGGGCGGCTCGGCTGCTCGGCGATTCGGCTGCTCGCTGGCTAGGCTGCTCGGCGGCTCGGGCGCTGGGCGGCTGAGCGACGACGGGGCCGTGGAAGGGCGGCGACGGGGCCGCTGGTAGGGCGGCGACGGGCCGCTGAAAGGGCGGCTACGGGCCGCTGAAAGGGCGGCGACGGGCCGCTGAAAGGGCGGCAACTGGGCCACGGAAGGGGGGGCAACGGGGCTGCTGCAGGGCGGCGACGGGGCTGCGGAAGGGCGGCGACGGGGCCGCTGAAAGGGCGGCGACGGGGCCGCTGAAGGGCGGCGATGGGGCCGCTGGAGGGCGGCGACTGGGCCGCGGAAGGGCGGTGTCAGGGCCGCTGAAGGGCGGCGACGGGGCCGCTGTAAGGGCGGGCGGCAAGGCCGTGGAAGGGCGGCGACGGGGCCGTGGAAGGGCGGCGACAGGGCCGCTGAAAAGGGCGGCGACGGGCCACTGAAAGGGCGGCGACGGGGCCGCAGTAAGGGGCGGCGACTGGACCGCTTAAAGGGCGGCGCGACGGGGCCGCAAGGGCGGCGCGACGGGGCCGTTAGGGGCCGTAAAAGGGGCCGCTAGAGGCCGCTAGAGGAGGAACGACACGGGGCGCGACTCGGGCAGGGGCCAAGCGTGCTCCGGGCAGGAAAAAAAAGTTGGTGGGCCCTAGGAACAGTTCCCACGAGGGAAGCAGCTCTATACCATGTGAAGATTAGAACAAGAGAATGATTGAACTATGAAAGAGTTGGGTACAAGTACTAACCCTAATTGGGTTTTACCCCTTATGGGCTACCCCACTACAGCCTACACAAATGTATAAGCTATAATGTTCTGACAAGCGCTGGAGATTGCTAGTGCATGAAGGGACTCGGTCGACGATGGGAATGCTAGCGCAGGCTCTGTTCGACGACGTTGACGGGCATTGCTGGTGTACAATAGTGGTCGACGAGACCCCTCGATGTGCACTGCTCGACGTGCTCTGCTCGACGAGCTAGTTTCGGCGAACGTTGTTCGACCAAGTAGCGTCGAGCTAGTCGATGAAAGTAGCTCGACTGCAATACCCGGCTTGAGAGCGAATGTCGCTCAAGAGGTCTTAGAAAAGCCGATCTGCGTAACATCGTCACATACTCTATGGCACACGGGTGGCGAGATCGTCGACACATGTTCTACCTGGCACCTGCGCAATGTGCCTGGCGGTGCGACCGTAGACCTGCACCTCCTTTGTATACTACCGTATCATATTGTTATCTATTGTTTGTTCTAATCCTGGCCTGCGTATTCAATGATTTTCAGTAAAAGTACCAAGCTGACAAATGTGTAGACGAGGGGATGGTTCAACATCAATGGAGATATTAACAAATTCTTTTAAGCATTAAAAATATTACAATTGATGATAGAGCTATTAATAAGAATTGTAGAGATTTCCCTTGTTTTTCAGGGCCTCCTATTCCTTATCAAGTTTGCCCATTGCAGTTTATGTTTTTATTTTGTTCACATATACGCTTTTATTTCTGTTGTAGTTGTGCTCTGTATTAAACTGCTCTGTGGCGCGTCATGCCACGCTTTCTCTGCAACACTTTCCGTTGAGTTTAGACGGAATCCGTCGAGGAAGGCGGATTTCCTCGACGGGCGTGGGGGAGCAGCTGGCGTCATCGCCAGCTCGTGCGGGGACCACTCCGAGCTGGCGGGGCTCGTTTCGGGCGGGCCGGGTGGCTTGCTCTCGCCCCTCGCGTGCCCCGCTACGCGACTATGGGAAAACAGAAATCCCTTCGAGGAAAACCCGCAGGGGCGAACGGGGTTTCGCGGAGGGATTCTGGCGAGGTCTTCCCTGGCAAATCCGCTCGACCTGCGCCTAAGACAATATAACTCCCCCCACGCACCTCCACCCTCACTCACGGATAGGTGACTGCAAGCGGGACCGGTGCGGTCTCGAATATTCGACTCCACCCTCCCGTTCCGCCTGCCCTATTGCGTTAGTGTGGGGCAGCCATCGCGCGCGACAACGCTTTTGTGATTGCGTATCGTTTCAGGTACCCAATGCGCTTCACCTGTGTCACACGGTATTATCCGCACTCCAGCGTCAGCATCGCCTATTTGTACTGTACCAGCGCCGCCCACCTCCGCCCCTACTGTGGCGGGAAGCTTTCCTCCCATCATTAACGCGACTCTCCCCACTTACCCTTTCGCTCGATTACACAAGATGCCCAACCCCTGCGCGCGAATTTGCCCTGCCCACGATGGAAACTCTGCACCCGTGTATTAGGGTGCCAGCCAGTTGCACCCCATTTACAAGCACCTCCAGCAATACGAACCACAAAAAACGAAGTTTGACAGAAGAGACCAACGTCAAACGGTGAACAGAGAGTTACAAAATCTTTTAAAGTCCCTTTTTACTAAGTGCGAATTGACGAAAACTTAGCGAAATGCAAGAATCACTTAAGAGCCCTCTTCACAAGGCAACCTTGGGCTAGTCAAACGGGCATCTTGTGTACGTGACTCAGCAGACTCTTCCGTGGACTGATTCTTGCGCTCTAGAGTCGTAGTAAGTGCTGTGCAGGGGTATCGCCAAATACTTTATCGAGTGCTTCTTTTCCGACGGCCACTCGTCATTTCGTTTCCGTCAGCTGCTTAAACTTCGCATTCATAGCCATTACTGCTACTGTTGTTTCTCTTAGGCTCCCACACCTATAAGTACCAGTATAGTAGCTGATTTCGCCATCGGCAATGGCGTCAAAGATAACGGATGACGACTTCCAGAGCCGTGTTCTGGACAACAAGCTCCCGTCTCTCGTTTATTTCTACGCGAATTGGTCCGGTCCTTGCAAGATGATGGATCCCTTGATTGATGAGGTCGCCGAGGATTTTTCAGGAACGGCTTCCTGTTACAAGATGGACACTGACGAAAGTCCCAACACGTTGGCCGAATATGGCGTCCGAACCGTTCCCACCGTGAAAATCTTCAGGGCTGGTCGTGAGCAAGAGACGCTCGTTGGCTGTGTGCCTCATTCGGAGCTGCCCACAACCCTCGATAATTTTATATGAGCTTCTTCGTCCTCTGCTGCCTTCACTCGAGATGACGATACTTACCTACATATCAAGCTGTCCGGCGTTTAGGGTTTGTCATCTCCGTGTTCTGTGCTGATATTGTCCAAACTGAAAATGTAACAGATGAAGTTTGTGTATAAGGTCACAGTACATTTGGCCTCACTTCCCACTCAAATCAGCACGGTCAAAGGGCCACCTGTTTCAAGGTGGACACTGACGAAAGTTCCTGGACATCGTCCGAATATGGCGTCCGAAGCGTTCCTACCGTGAAAACCTTCAGGGCTGGGCGTGAGCAGGAGACGCTCGTTGGCACTGTGAATGATTTGGCCCTGGAGAGAGCCCTCAAGAAAGTTGCATGAGGAGCTTCATGCTCTGCTGTCGTCACTTCGTAATACTTTACTTGCATTTTGACTGTCTGCATAAAATGCTGCTGGCGTTTAGGGTTTGTGATCTCTGTATGCCCTGCTGGTCTTGTCCAAACTGAAGAGTAGCAGGTGAACTTTTGTGTGTAAGGACGCCCTAGACTTGGGTTTAAAATAGCATGATGAGACTCATAAACAATCTGACTTCTATAAATATTTTTTCCAATCAGGTACACGTTGTGCAAGGTGATATTGTTGAACATAATTTAGCCGTTTGTCCCGTTCCACCCACTCTTTATCAGAACATGATGATGGCTGAACAATCGGGCATTTTAAGTTTGATTTGACAATGACATGGAGTAACAAACGAAAGCGATGCAAAGCAATTACTGTGGGAGTTACGCATTACATTTCGAGGCACCTCGAACGCACAAGTTGTTACATTCCTCCATTACGGTAGACCCTGAAGATGCATTATAGGCGGAGAATAGTCCGTATGGTGTCAGATAGGTTGTGTATGATGGCCTTCTCTTGTGTTACTTGCCATCCTTGTAGAGGCATCTCGTCCAAACACCTTATATGGGGGACAGACAGAGGGGCCAAAGAGAGGGCCGGAATGGGAGGTTACAGTTGACAACGGGCAAACACAGATACGGTAGCTAGCGGAGTGGGTAACTAGCAGCAGTCTCATTGTGTTGTCTAAATGATAAGTGTCTGAATGTGTTGCGAGCAGAGAACAAGAAAAAATTCAAGGAGGCACCAAAAGATTCGAAGACAAACAAGCCACGACATACTGTATGATGATACATGATCAATGATACAAGAATTTATACTCGTTATGAGGAGCATCACGTACTGTTTATGGTACGCCAGCGCTCGGGCGAGATTGGGGAGGGTGGTGCTGTTGGCTAGTCTGCGGTACACACTGGGGGGTAGTGGCACCTGTGGTGGGGATGGGGTGTAGAGTAAATGGTAGGAGAATCAAAGAGACGATTCAGAAAGAAAGGGCTGTTGGCTTGTCCGGCAGGAGAACAATCCAGGGATGGAGATGACTTTAGAGTCAGACTCAAATGTCATGCATTAAAGCTCGCAGCCCAAATTGTACAACTTTACTAAAGTTGCATGTTGGGAGGTGAGGGAGCAGGGTTGGAAAGTCGAGGTGTTGGGTGGGTTGAGGGCTTTGGTTTCGCCCAACCTCTTGCCAATCTCAAACACATTTCGCTGACTCAGCAGACCCCAGGGGCCACTTCGCGTTTGGTTGCATGAGTCCCATATTGCACAAATACTATCCTTGCCAGTTTCCCACCCAACCCCCTCCGCAAACACTGTTTCAATTTTGCTAGCCAATCAGCTCAGTGGTCAAATTGACTAGCCAATCAGCTTCCTTCGTACAGCCCGTAACCTCAATTCGCAAAACCAGCACCTGCAAAACAACTTTCGATCAACCTTACTAAGGTTGCACAGCGCGGCCCGCAATTTGGGCCGCGAGCTTTAACGGCATGTAGTGGGAATGGTAGGGGATCGAAAGAAGAGGCTGAACAGAAGGACGCTGTTGGGTGGTCCGACTGGCGCCCTTTACTTATCCTCGCCTCCTCCCTCACCTCAGCCGCGGGCGTTCGTCTGGCGCCTTTGCTCCCTGCCAGCCCACCACTCCCTGACAGCTCCTGAATCGCCTCCAGCCCACACTGGTCAAAGAGGGCCAGGTTGCCCTCGGGGCCTTGTAACCCCTCCCCTTGTAGCATCAGTAATTACTAAGGAGCACAGCACAGTATGGAAGGCTGCTACTGTGCCTCGCCTCAGCAGCAGGTGTTCGTCTGGCGGCCTTGCTGCCTGCCAGCTCCTGAATCGCCTCCAGCCCACACTGGTCAAAGGGAGCACCATCGGGGCTCGAACCCCCCATGGCAGTACTAGCAACAGCAGAACTCAGTACAGGAACCAGCGGACCTGCATTCCTCACCTCAGTATGGAAGGCTGCTACCTCACAGTGTTCCGCCTCACCTCAGCAGCAGGTGTTCGTCTGGCGCCCTTGCTGCCTGCCAGCCCACCACTCCCTGACAGCTCTTGAATCGCCTCCAGCCCACACTGGTCAAAGGGAGCCCCGTCGGGGCCGGATGAGGCGATGAGGGAGAGAGGGGAGATGTCGCATGCTCGGAGGAAGGGGATGGGGACCGTGTTGCCCGCTGCATACACCGCTGATAGCTGGGAGAGTGATAGGAAGGGGAAACGAGGAAAAGAAGTGGGGGGGTGGGGGGGGGGGGGGGGGTAGGGGAAGATGAGGGTCAGAAATACAAGGCCACACGCTTTTGAAACGCCTAGAAAAACCACCAACCAGATGCCGTTACCTTGGGCTTAGACTCTCTCTCTCACCTTATCTTGCAGCCCAGGGCTGGCTCTCTAAGCAGGCCGGGTGCTATCAGCAATGGCCTGCCTCGTCCCATCCTCCATCGCCTGCCGTGCCCCTGCAAAGAAATCCGTGCCCTTCCTTCCTCCCCTCCTCCTTCTCATCTCCAGCTCCTCCTCTAGTACACACACTGAGTCAGCACACGCACGCGTGCCTCACTCAGCTGCACTCTTTCTTGAACAGGCGTACTCTCACCCTTGCTCACCCTCTCTCACCTTATCCTGCAGCCCAGGACTGGCTCTTTGAGCGGGGCGGGTGCTATCAGCAATGGCTTGCCTCGTCCCATCCTCCATCGCCTGTCTCGCCCCCGCAAAGAAATCCGTGCCCTTCCTCCTCTTCGCCTCCAGTTCCATGCCCGCTGCTGCTGCTTGCTTCGGGGGCACTGGAGGTCTCTCTGCCCTGCGGGACGGAGCAGACCTGGAAGGGGAATGCAGGGAGGGGAGGGGAGGGGAGGGGAGGGGAGGGAAAAGGTTGCCTGATACAGTCTCCCCCTCAAAGCAAAGAAATCCGTGCCCTTCCTCGTCAGGGCTTCTTGCTCCATGCCCGCTGCTGCTGCTTGCTCCGGGGGCACTGGTGGGCACTCTGCCCTTGGAGAAGGGGCGGACCTGGAAGGAGAGGGGAGATGGTGAAGCAGAGGGAGATGGTGAACCAGAGGGAGATGGTGAACCAGAGGGAGATGGTGAAGCAGAGGGAGATGGTGAACCAGAGGGAGATGGTGAACCAGAGGGAGATGGTGAACCAGAGGGAGATGGTGAACCAGAGGGAGATGGTGAACCAGAGGGATGTGCTGACTTTGCTTTGCGTTGCCCACCCACCCATAGCTCCATTCTTTTTGGAATTCTCGAGGCGTGCACTCACTTGGCCTGGGCTGGCTTGGCCTTGCGCTGCCCCCCCAGCGCTGCCAGCGCTGCGCCAATCCAATGTTACCCGAAGACGACTCCACGCCCTGTATACTGCACACGCCCAATCACCACTACCACAATCCGAGCCACCCACACACACTCACTTGGCCTGGGCCGGCTTGGCCTTGCGCTGCCCGCCCAACGCCGCCAGCGCAGCGCCGATGTTATCCGAAGACGACTCCACGCCCTCCGCTGATGACGTGGCGGCTGCTGACTTGGCGGACGGCTCGTCTGACCTGGCGACACGCATCGTGCCCGTGTCCATCGCCTCATCCTCGGACTCATAATCCTTGTTCACAAACGTGCCGAAATCTGGGAAGTGGGCGGGAGGGGGGGAGGGGGGAAGAGGGGACGGGTGAGGGCACATGATGGAATGGAAGTGCCTCTTGCCGTGTCCATCACCTCATCCTCGGATTCATAGTCCTTGTTCACAAACGTGCCGAAATCTGTGTAAAGAGCAAGAAGGGGGAAGCGGAGTGGGGAGAAGGGGAAAGGGGAAGAGGGGGAAGGTGGGGGGCAGGTGGACGCGCATCGTCTGCCTCATCCTCGGACTCATAGTCCTTGTTCTCAAACGTGCCAAAGTCTGTATCAGAATGCAGGTGCGGGGGGGGGGGGGGGGGGGGGGGACAGGTGAAAGCACATAATGGAAGTGCCTCGTACCACGGCCCATCACCTCATCCTCGGACTCATAGTCCTTGTTCACAAACGTGCCAAAGACTGTGTTGGGGTGAAAAGGGAGCAGCAAGAAGGGGAAAAGGGCGGAGGCGCATCGTGCCCATGTCCATTGCCTCATCCTCCTTGTTCACAAACGTGCCAAAGTCAGGGATGTATTGTGTGGGTATGCACGGATATGAGGAGGAAGGGAGGGAAGAGGGAAAGCGGGGAAGGAAGCCACAGGGTCAGCAGATTTTTTTATTCTTGTTCACAAACGTGCCGAAATCTGTGTTTGGGTGAGTGGGGTTGGGGCAGGATACTAGGGGTAGCGAGCGGATAAAGAGTCATTGTTCAAAAACTTGTTTTCTGAGACGGCTCAAAAGATTCTGAGTACCTGACGCATAAGTCTGACTCATATAAATTGAAATGAGTGGTATTGGGGGGGTTAGGAAGGGGGAGGCAAGAGGGGAAGGAGTTGACAACGGGTACCTACCAACCCACCCACCTAACCTGTTTTGAGAATTCTCAAGAGTGATTTCAACTTAGGGAAGAGAGGAAGCTAAGTGACCATATACACGTTTAGCGTATATACGCGTGTCGTATATACGCACGCGTTTATACGCTATACGCATAGGTCCCGAATCCAGGGATACGCTTTTTCGGGCAGGGTAAAAATAACCCGGGCAGGGTGAAAAAAACACCCTAGGTATAGTTCACGGGGGGGATTCACGGAGGTTGTGTCTCAGGTTCATTTTTTCCCCTATGACGCGAAATGCTTAAAGACTTCGTGCTCAACATCGGGAAGGTACTCCTTAATCTCACGAAGAGGACGTGGCCTATTGTTATCCTGTGTGAGATCAGATGGCGGCTTAGGAACTGCAGTAGAAATTATCGCATAGGATACTAGGAGTGAGCGACTAGGTGGAATGGACAGATGGGGGAGGGACGGATGGGGGAGGGAACGTGAAGTAGATCTGACGAGCAACGATGTGTTGGAGGGGACGTACTGGAAAGGTTGGAGTTCGTAGATTGGGTACGCCAGTCACCACACCACCTACGCCAGTCACCACACCACCTATGCCAGTCACCACACCACCTACGCCAGTCACCACACCACCTACGCCAGTCACCACACCACCTATGCCAGTCACCACACCACCTATGCCAGTCACCACACCACCTACGCCAGTCACCACACCACCTACGCCAGTCACCACACCACCTACGCCAGTCACCACACCACCTACGCCAGTCACCACACCACCTACGCCAGTCACCACACCACCTATGCCAGTCACCACACCACCTATGCCAGTCACCACACCACCTACGCCAGTCACCACCACCTCACCACACCACCTACGCCAGTCACCACACCACCTACGCCAGTCACCACACCACCTACGCCAGTCACCACACCACCTATGCCAGTCACCACACCACCTATGCCAGTCACCACACCACCTACGCCAGTCACCACACCACCTACGCCAGTCACCACACCACCTACGCCAGTCACCACACCACCTACGCCAGTCACCACACCACCTACGCCAGTCACCACACCACCTATGCCAGTCACCACACCACCTATGCCAGTCACCACACCACCTACGCCAGTCACCACACCACCTACGCCAGTCACCACACCACCTATGCCAGTCACCACACCACCTACCACAATTGGCACCCACCAGGTTCATCATCATCAGCATAGGCGGATGGTGCAGAGCGTGCCTTCACTGTCCCCCCCATGGCGTCTCCCCTCTGCCTCACCGTGCCTGTGCCCATGGACTGGGGGACCGAAATGGCCATGGGGGAGGGAAAAGGGGAAGGACGCAGGGAAGGGGAAAAGACACAGCTAAGTGCTGCTGCCTTCACTGTCCCCCCCATGCTGCCTCCCCTCTGCTTCACTGTGCCCGTGCCCATGGGCTGCACTGCACCCACACGGAAGGTGGGAGAGGGTTGAAAGGGATAAAGAGCGATACAGAGAGGAGTAGAAAGAGATGTAGGTTCAGAAAATGTATCCACTAGTGGGTGGAATGGAAGGCTCCCTTCCCCCCACAGCATCTCCTGTTGGCTTTGCTGTGCCTGTGCCTGGGCCTGTGCCTGTGCCTCTGCCTCTGCCTCTGCCTCTGCCTCTGCCTGTGCCTGTGCCTCTGCCTCTGCCTCTGCCTCTGCCTCTGCCTCTGCCTCTGCCTCTGCCTCTGCCTCTGCCTCTGCCTCTGCCTCTGCCTCTGCCTCTGCCTCTGCCTCTGCCTCTGCCTGTGCCTGTGCCTGTGCCTGTGCCTGTGCCTGTGCCTGTGCCTGTGCCTGTGCCTGTGCCTGTGCCTGGGCCTGGGCCTGTGAAGCATGGACTAAGTCGACATGGAGGGACGTGAGAGGGGCGGGAGAGGGACATGAGAGGGATAGAGATGGACTTACTAACAAGGATTTAATCATGCGCGGGTGGCATGTGCCTAAGCATGCAAACCACCCATCTGCTCTCTCTACCACCAACACTCACATCCTCCAAGACGCTGTTCTGCTCCTCCAAAGCAGCGGCCGCTAGCCACTGTTTCGTTACCTCTTCTCTCATCGCCTTGGCCTGGTCGATCCGCTTCTTGAGCACCACAGCCGTGTCCTTGCACCTCTCGATGAACTTGTGCTGCAGCAGTGACTTTTGAGTCGACTAAAAAATCGCTCGATGAACTTGTGCGGCAGCAGTGCTGGGTACACCCGTACCTGTAACTGTAAGCAACCTCGCAACCACAGGCTACCAACCACTCTGCTGCCCTGAGAAACTCACATCTTCCGAAACGCTGTTCTGCTCCTCCAGGGCAGCGGCAGCTAGCCGTTGCTTCTTTGCCTCTTCTCTCATCGCCTTGGCCTGGTCGATCCGCTTCTTCAGCACCACAGCCGTGTCCTTGCACCTCTCGATGAACTTGTGCTGCAGTAGTGCTGGCGTGGTGGGGCGCTGCTTGGGCTCCTTGATCAAACACTTGGCCACAAAATCGTGGAATAAAAGGGACCTGCAGGGATAATGTGCGGTATGATGCAGTACAATGAAGGTACAATGCGGTTCAGCTGGCGTGGCGTGGTGGGGCGCTGCTTGGGCTCCTTGATTGAACACTTGGCCACAAAATCGTGGAACAGGAGGGACCTGAAGGGCGAGGAGCGGATAGTGTGCGGTATGATGAGCTATTATGCGGTGTAATGTGGTTCGGTTCAAAATACGCACATCATTAAAAAATCAGAAGAAAGAGAGCTTCAAGTTGCACACAGGGAGGGAGGGATCTCAGCGTGATCAATTTTTTAGGCGCCTCAAAAGCAGTTTTTTTAACCATGGCGCCTTGAAAGCATTTTTGAGGCGCCCCGAAAGAGAGATTCGAGAAATGGCCCGAGGGGGATATCAGCGCAAACAGTTAGAAGAAACTGGTAGGAAGAGCTTTCGAGGAGCCTCTAAAAACTTTCCAGGTGACTCAGCATGAACAGATAGACGAAATGTGGGGGAAGGTTCTATTGAATCGAGAAAGAGCATCACCTGGAGAATCGCTCACCATTTCTCGGGGTCCTCTAATGTGGGTGAAGGTTCTCTGGAGATCATGAAAAGCACCTGGAAGAGTGGGCGGGGAGGGTGAAGAAGGGTGGATAGCGGTTAAGGAGGGTGGAGAGGAGTGGAAAGGGGCGAATTACTTGTCTAGAAAGAAGCTCCATACCTGGCAAACATGTTGTGGCGAGGCGAACACAGCATATGATTCTTTCAATGACAGAGTGGATGGCTTAGTGCATGAATCAGCCAGCAAACAAGGGAGGGACGGCTTAGGCAAGCAAGCACTCACTCGCATGGGATGGATGTTGGATCGTGGTGGCAGGCCCTGCTCACACACGGGTGGTTGGTGGGGATGACGCGGGGGAGGGGAGGGAAAGGGGGAGAGGGACGGCATGGTGTGATGGGAAAGGTGGTCGCCACGTGGCACATACCCTGTGCTGTGCTGCCATCGGGAATGCATGACATACCATACCATTTTGCTGCCGCTGACAAGGCATGCATGCATCCATCCATCCATCCATCCATCCATCCATCCATCCATCCATCCATCCATCCATCCATCCATCCATCCATCCATCCATCCATCCATCCATCCATCCATCCATCCATCCATCCATCCATCCATCCATCCAGACACACACACACACACACACACACACACACACACACATACATACATACATACATACATACATACATACATACATACATACATACATACATACATACATACATACATACATACATACATACATACATACATACATACATACATACATACATACATACATACATACATACATACAGACTGCGAGCATGCAAGGCGTACCTCGGCCATTTCAATGGCAGTGATGCCCAGTGCCCACACGCCCACCTTGCCGTCGTACAGACAGCACCATGAGCCATGCATGCATCCCTCCCTCACCACCACGTGGAACCATTTTTCGAGCCGACCAGCATCTCCATCACCACCATCACCTGATGTCAATGATCATCCCGTCCGTGTGTAGTGAGTCCAGTTTTGAGTCGACTCAAAACTCGATTCAAGAGTCGACTCAAAACTCGACTCAAGAGTCGACTCAAAACTCGAACCACCACCTGATGTCAATGATCATCCCGTCCGTGCTGCCCCTGCCACAGCAAGGCAATCCCTGTGTTGCCTAGGACATGCGCACCTCGGCCATTTCAATGGCAGTGATGCCCAGCGCCCACACGTCCACCTTGCCGTCGTACAGACTCTCCTGAATCACCTCCGGTGCCATCCAGTGGGGCGTGCCTATGAACTGCAGAGGGGAGAGAAAGGGTGCAGAGGGACACGGACGAGACAGGATGTTGCCCTTTTTTATCTGAAGGAACCGCCCTTGGTGCTTAGACCGCCCCACCCCTCTACACATCACAGAATCACACAAGAACCGCTCCTCACCGTGTTGCGTTTGGACATGGTGCGGGTGAGCTGTGCCGCCACCCCAAAGTCGCCCAGCTTTGCCCCCAAGTCGCTCAGCAGGATGTTGCCCTGCCCTTTCCTAACCACACACACCACCGCTCTACACCACACAAAACCGCTCGTCATCGCACGTCACCGCTCCTCACCGTGTTGCGTTTGGACATGGTACGAGTCAGCTGGGCCGCCACCCCAAAGTCTCCCAGCTTGATCTCCCCCGAGTCGCTGAGCAGGATGTTGCCGCCCTTGATGTCCCGATGCACCTTGCCTATCTCGTGCAGGTAGGCCAGGCCCTGAAGGGATAACGTTTTGGGCTCAAGGCTGAATCTTTAAAATATCAAGGTTGGAGGGATAGGAAACGGCAGTGAGTGCTGCAAGAGTTGCTGAGCAGGATGTTCCCCCCCTTGATGTCGCGATGCACCTTGCCTATCTCGTGCAGGTACGCCAGACCCTGATGGGGATTAGGGTTTGGGGTTTAGGGCCCAAGATTCAATCTATTGGGTTAACGAAGGGAGAGAGGGCAGCAGGGACAGTAAGAGTCGCTGAGCAGGATGTTGCCGCCCTTGATGTCTCGATGCGCCTTGCCTATCTCGTGCAGGTACGCCAGACCCTGATGGGGATTAGGGTTTGGGGTTTAGGGCCCAAGATTCAATCTATTGGGTTAACGAAGGGAGAGAGGGGAGCAGGGACAGTAAGAGTCGCTGAGCAGGATGTTGCCGCCCTTGATGTCTCGATGCGCCTTGCCTATCTCGTGCAGGTAGGCCAGACCCTGAACGGATTAGGAATTTGGGTTCCAGGTTTGGGGTTTAGGATTGAAGCTTTTAAGTTGAAGGTGGGAGGATGGGAAATGGCAGTGGGTGCTGCTGCGAGTCACTCAGCAGCATGATGGTGTCACTCAGCAGCATGATGGTGTCACTCAGCAGCATGATGGTGTCACTCAGCAGCATGATGGTGTCACTCACGCACCTTAAGCAACTCCCGGCACACATAGGCAATCATGCCCTCCTCAAGCAGAGAACCTATGTTGTTTGACTGCCACTGACTCTGACTTCCATTGACTCCCATTGACTCCCATTGACTCACCTTGATGGACTCCCGGCACACGTATGCAATCATGCCCTCCTCAAGCAGAGAACTTATGTTGTTTGACTGCCACTGACTCTGACTTCCATTGACTCCCATTGACTCCCATTGACTCCCATTGACTCACCTTGATGGACTCCCGGCACACGTATGCAATCATGCCCTCCTCAAGCGGCGAGTGCGTTGACTGCCATTGACTTTGGTTGACTGCCACACACCCACCTTAATTGACTCCCGGCACACGTAGGCAATCATGCCCTCTTCAAGTGGCGAGTCCGTGTTGTTCATAAGGTCAGCCACGCTGCCACCCCCACAGTACTCCATCACAATCTGTTTCAGGGGAAGGAGTGCAGGGAAAGGCAACAAGGAGAGAGACATATGCAATCATGCCCCCCTCAAGCAACAAGTCCGTGTTGTTCATGAGATCAACCACGCTGCCGCCACCACAGTACTCCATCACAATCTGTTTCAGGGGAAGGGTGTTTGGTGGGAGCGAGTGCAGGTTAAGGCAACGAAGAGAGGAGACAAAAAGTCCGTGCTGTTCACGTGACCAGCCACACGGCTACCACCGCAACCAAAATCCTGTGGTTTACTGCAGGTGTTCGAATCACGAGATGCCGAAACGGATTTTCTCATACTCGCCCAGAAATTCGTCCCCCTGATAGCTACCATAGCACCGGGGCGACTTAAGCAAAGGATATCAAATCAAACCGAATCGAATCTACTCACCCAGAGAAAGTCATCTCCCTGGTAGCTGCCATGGTAGCGCACAACGTTGGGGTGGTTGCACTGCTGCAGCATCTCGATCTCCCCCCTTATCTCATCAAATCCCTCCTCCTGTCGAGCAAGGAAGAGGAGGAAAGAGGAGAAAGCGGATTGAGAAATAGGGTGGGATCGCAGGGTGCATGACGTTGGGGTGGTTGCACTGCTGCAGCATCTCGATCTCTCCCCTTATCTCCTCAAATCCCTCCTCCTGCGATAGAGGCACAAGGGGAGGGAGGGAGTGGAGCAAAGGGGAATGAGGATGAGGGGAGGAGAAGGCAAGTCAAGGAGGGTGCATGACGTTGGGGTGGTTGCACTGCTGCAGCATCTCGATCTCTCCCCTTGTCTCCTCGAGTCCCTCCTCCTGAGATGGGGGGAGTGGATGGTACATGACAGTGAGCGGAGACAAGAGGTGGCCGGAGGAGGAAGGGGAAGGAAGAGGAGGTTAACGGGGAAGCGGAGGGAAGCGATGGGAAGAGAAGAAAGGGGAGGAGGAAGAGGGAAGAGGTGGAGAGAAGGAAAGAGGAGGAAGGAAAGAGTGGAAGAAGAGGGATAGCAAAGCAAAAGAAAAAAAGCAGGGGGGAGAGGAAGAGGAGAGGGCCACAAGGAGGAACAATCTTGTCCTCTTCCTCTCCCCCCTTGCGAGAATAATCTTCTCTTCACTTACCCCTTCAGCCAGAGAAATTACTTTGATGGCCACCAGCTCTGAGCTAATGCGGTCTCGCCCCTTGTACACCGAACCATATGAGCCCTTGCCTGCAGGAGGGGGGCGGGACAGGTGTAGAGAGCAGAGCAGGTGGACATGTGGGGAGGGGAGCAAGGAGGTGGAGACAAGAATGAGGGCGGACACAAATGAGGGCGGACACGAATGAGGGCGGACACGAATGAGGGCGGACACGAATGAATGCCACAGTTATTTTAAAACCACAGCCTCGCAATGACTAGTGGAACCTCCCACACTCAGCCATCCAGCTCAACCCCTCACACACCCAGCTCCATGTCATGCCCTGCCATGCCATGCCACGTGCCATGCCCTGCCATGCCATGCCACGTGCCATGCCCTGCCATGCCATGCCACGTGCCATGCCCTGCCATGCCATGCCACGTGCCATGCCCTGCCATGCCACGCCACGTGCCATGCCATGTCATGCCATGTCAAACGAACGCCCCTCACTCACCCACCCCTCGCACTCACTCACCCAGTTCCTCCAGCAGCTCGTATTTCAGTGTAGGGTCCTCCCACGAAACGTGAATACTCGACCCTGCCACAATTCCTGGCCTCCATGCCAGGTCATGTGAAACAAACATCTACCTCACTCACCCAGCTCCTCCAGCAACTCGTATTTCAGAGTGGGGTCTTCCCTGGAAACATGGATGCTCAATCCTGCCATGCCACGCCCCCTCCCCCGCCCTTCTTCTCCTTGGGAGCAACGTCCTTGTGCCCTGCCATGCTCCTTGCCATGTGATGCGATACCACAACAATACCACACCATGCCATCCATAACCACACGAGACTACGCCAGGCCATGCCATGCCATATTATCTCATGTGAAACAAACCCCCCGCACACATACCCAGTTCCTCCAGCAACTCGTATTTCAGAGTGGGGTCTTCCCTGGAAACATGAATGCTCGACCCTGCAATGCCCCCTCCCCCGCCCTTCTTCGCCTTGGGAGCCACGTCTTTGTGCTCCGCCATGCTCCTAGCCGCCGCTGCCAGGGACCCAGTCCCGTCCTTCTCCCCCTTCCCTCCTTTCCCCCCCTTCTCCCCCTTCCCTCCTTTCCCCCCCTTCTTCCTCCGCCCTCCCCCCTTGCTCTTCCCAGACACAACCACAGTGCCAAACTGGTTTTCTTCCTCTTCCTCATCCTCATCATCCTCCTCATCGCTCTCCTCCTCCTCCTCGTCGTCGCTGCGGCCTCGCCGTTTCGAAACAACCATCGTTCCAAAGTCCCCCTCTTCCTCCTCCTCGCTCTCTTCCTTTCGCCGCCGCCCCTTTTTTTTGGCCGACTTGCTCACCACCATTGTGCCAAAATCCCCCTCTTCACTACCCTCCTCATCTTCCTCTTCTTCCTCTTCCTCCTCTTCTCGCCTCCTGTTACCCTTCGTTTTACTCACAACCATCGTTCCGAAGTCCCCATCTCCATCACTCTCCTCCTCTTCCTCCTCCTCCTCTCTCCTCCGCCCTCCTCTTCCTCCCCCTCCTCCCCTTCTCCCCCCACCACCCCTCCCCATCTGAGCTCGCATGCTAGCAGCTGCTGCTGCCAACCCTCCCCCTTCCTCCTCTCTTTCCGCTCTTCCCCTCCCCCCTCCTCCCCCACTCTTCCTACTAACCACCATCGTTCCAAAATCCCCTTCCTCGCTTTCCTCCTCTTCCTCCTCCTCTCGCCCCCCCTTCCGCCTTCCACCCCCTCTGCTCACCACCATTGTTCCGAAATCCCCGCTATTATCATCCTCGTCTTCCTCCTCCTCCTCCTCGTCCCTTCTCCTGCCCCTCCCGCTGCTTCCTTTATTTCCGCGACTAACCACCATGGTTCCAAAATCCCCTCCTTCTGAACCGTCCGATTCCACACCACTCCCGTCATCGTCGTCTCGTCGTGTGCCACGTGGCCGCATCACCATTGTTCCAAAATCCCCTCCCCCTTCCTCGTCACTATCCCCTGCATACGGGCCCCCCTTATTATCACCTCCCCCACGCCAACCGCCGCCGCCGCCGCCGCTTTCGCGTCTGCTTCCAGGTTTCATAACCATGGTTCCGAAGTCCCCGCCTCCATCACCGTCCGATTCTTCATCGGACGGCTCCTGTGGCGGTCTGCGGCTCCCAGGCTTCATAACCATTGTGCCGAAATCTACATCCGAACCATCTGAACCGTCCATTTCAGCTAGAATCGACGCTACACAGACGGATTATATGCGCTAGCACCAGAATGCAGTTTAGGTTCTTTGCTGCAACAACCAAAAATAGTTAGAGACTAATCGATGATGTGAAATTGCGAGAGGCGAAGCGAAACCCTAGTGAAGATCTCAAGACAATGATTCGTGTCTAGGAGCGAAGGCGGCTAGCCTTTTAGAACGCAGACTAGCTTGCAAGGTCTCTTAGAATGCGGACTAAGAAACCGCTGACAGGTATTTGAACGGGAACTGACCGGCTAGGCGGGAAATTTTGGGGACTGGCATGCAGCATTATTTAGGGTTTAGGTGAGTTGCAGAACGGTTTCTCTGGGTGCGAAATGCTTATTAGAAAGTACCTCGCGAACAAGCTGGTGCTAAGAGCTAGTTAGTCAAGAAGAATTAAGTTATAGTTTAGATTGTGAACTCAATATGTTTTTCATCGACTATTCGCTAGAACGCTTACCGGTAAGAGAGGCGAACTGCTTACATTGGATGTGAGGTCGAATTTAAAGGTCACAAAAAAACGCTAAAGCATCGATGTAAGACAACTAGTGCACTGCAAATTCCCACACAACCCAACCCAAACCCCATCACCCTTTGTTCTTAATCCACTCCTTTTCCCCGTAACAAATTGTCGTATCGTTACAACTGGCCACCCGTAAGCCATGCCGCAACCGTTGGATATCCATAGAAAAGGTTGACGCCACAGATCCCCAGAAAATGTGCGACTGTGCACAAATAAGCTTTTCTAGAGCCACGGGAATGAGTTCTGTGCGGCCTGTAGTCAATTGTTGAATGGGCCGCATCCATTTCTCCTTGCTCTTTTCGCGGACGGATGGTAACCGCACGACGTTGAGCTTGTAATCCGACATTTGGTTTAACAGAACAGTAAGCTCCTCCAACTGACAAATAGTAAAGAAGAGAAGGGTGACAATAAAGGGGGAGGAGGGCCAGGTGTGACAAAGAAGAGAGGAAAGAATGGTGACAAGAGGAGCACCAGAAGAAGATGGTGAAGAGAACAAGAGAGTGAGAAGGGGGTGGTGAGACGATAACAGCATGATTGCTTTCATAGCAAGCGATGAGCCATGGAGATGTGAAGCACACAGGCAGGCAGCCATCGCACCTCCATGCTTGCCCAACCTCGTTGCAACACAAGCACCCAAGAATGCTTGGCATTGGTTGCAGAAACAAACACATACCTCGGCATGCTTGGCATTGGTGGCGAGGAAGAGGTTGTTGATTCCCAGCTCCCTGGTCTTGCGATACACCCAATATGCCACCTGCATACCGGCACGGCACACATCAAGGAACATGGCATGGGCAGGACAGGGCAAAGACGGAGCATGTCAAGAGAATGGCATTCATGCCCAGCTGCTCCCTCATCCTGCGATACAACCAATAGGCCACCTGCGTACCCCCATGCCACACATCAAGGAGCATGGCATGGGCAGGAAAGGGCACAGACGGACGGAGCATGTCAAGAGAATGCAATTCATGCCCAGACTCCTAGTCTTGCGAACACCCAATAAGCCACCTGCATACCCGCATGTGTCAAGGAACAGGGAGGGAACATGTGTAAACACGTCAAGAACATGCCACGGAGCATAGGACTGAACATGCCGATAAACCGCTCGCCTTCAAAAGCCTCTCCCACAGGGCGTTCTTGGGTCCGTGCCAGAAGCAGTAGGCCTTGAACTCTCCCCCCCCCCCCCACATACTGGTCCCCCCCGCTATACTGACTAGTCCAAGGACTCACAGCCCAAGCATGGCTGGAACCCCTGAAGCACGGCAAGCCCACCCACCTGCTGCACTGGAAAGTAGCAAGCATTTTTACGCCCGTGCCAGAAGCAATACGCCTTCAAGTCCCCTCTTCGCCAGTGCATGCCGACAAACCGCTCGCGCTGAAAAGTATCCCGCACAAACCGCTCAGCCGCCAGAAACATGCCCGCAGCCGCTTGAAGAGCAGCGGACCCTGAAAGCCCCACCACCCTAAACCCAGGAACCATACGCACTAAACCCTGAACCCTGCACCGTAAACCATACGGCACGGCAAGCCCACCCACCTGCTGAACCGGAAAGTAACATGCATTCTTGGGTCCGTGCCAGAAGCAGTAGGCCTTGAAGTCACCTCTTCTCCAGTGCATGCCAATGAACCTTTCCCCTTTGAACGTCTTGCGCACAAAAAGCTCTGCTGCCAAGAACATGCCCGCAGCCGGCTTGATGAGCAGCGCGGTGGGGCAGACGGAGGAGCGCTCGAACGGCAGGTCGAGAGCAGCGTCGCTCTCAGGCCACTGTGTGAAATGTACATTGACCAGATCCCCCACCACTAGCACAGGAGACTGGTTGTTGCCATATGCTTCCAGCACCTGTGCAGGACAGAGAAAGGGAAACGAATTTCAGGGAAAAGGCAGGGTTAGCGGAGGGACGGGGAGGGGAAGCTGGCTTGATGAGCAGCGCGGTGGGGCAGACGGAGGAGCGCTCGAACGGCAGGTCGAGAGCAGCGTCGCTCTCAGGCCACTCTGTGAAGTGAATGTTCACTAAGTCGCCCACCACCAGCACTGGAGACTGGTTGTTGCCGTTTACCTCGCAGGGCCCCTCCCTCATCCCCTCTTTCCCCACCCTCCTTCCATGCACCTCCCTCGCAGGTGGGCGAGCCTCACTTGGGACTTGGTTGCGGACATGGGCAGGCATGCAGCAAGCGCCGTGTGGTTGCCTGTCAACTGGGTGAGCTGGCCCCTGAAGAGCGTGCGGGTGATGCGCACCCGTGTGTTGAACACAAACCCTGGCTTGCCGATCTAATAAGCGGGAGGTGTGGGGCATGAAAGGGGAAAGACGGGATGAGGGACCGAGAGGAGGATGAGGGAGGAGAGAAGGGCGAGGGGCAGAGAATAGGGTTACAGGTGCTGGGGCCGAGTGTTGAGCCAATCACACATACGGGCCACATCATCACACGGGCCGAGTGTTTTGAGGAGGGGAAGGGGCGTGAGATCACGCTTTTGAGTCCACTCAAAAGGGAAGAGTGGGAGGTGGGGGAGAGCGGCTTGCCGATCTATTGAACAAGGTGCAGGAGGAGGAGGGGGAGGGGCGTGAGATCAGGGAGGGAGAGGGAAGTGGGGGCGTAAGACAGCCGACATAGAGGTCAGCTGGCCCGTCAAGGGCGGGCGGGTGATGCGCACCCGCGTGTTGAACACAACAAACCCTGGCTTGGTGACTTTTGAGTCGACTCAAAAGTCACCCCGCGTGTTGAACACAACAAACCCTGGCTTGGTGACTTTTGAGTCGACTCAAAAGTCACCCCGCATGTTGAACACAACAAACCCTGGCTTGGTGACTTTTGAGTCGACTCAAAAGTCACCCCGCATGTTGAACACAACAAACCCTGGCTTGGTGACTTTTGAGTCGACTCAAAAGTCACCCCGCATGTTGAACACAACAAACCCTGGCTTGGTGACTTTTGAGTCGACTCAAAAGTCACCCCGCATGTTGAACACAACAAACCCTGGCTTGGTGACTTTTGAGTCGACTCAAAAGTCACCCCGCATGTTGAACACAACAAACCCTGGCTTGGTGACTTTTGAGTCGACTCAAAAGTCACCCCCCATGTTGAACACAACAAACCCTGGCTTGGTGACTTTTGAGTCGACTCAAAAGTCACCCCGCGTGTTGAACACAACAAACCCTGGCTTGGTGAATTTTGAGTCGACACAAAAGTCACCCCGCGTGTTGAACACAACAAACCCTGGCTTGGTGACTTTTGAGTCGACTCAAAACTCACCCCGCGTGTTGAACACAACAAACCCTGGCTTGGTGACTTTTGAGTCGACTCAAAACTCACCCCGCGTGTTGAACACAACAAACCCTGGCTTGGTGACTTTTGAGTCGACTCAAAAGTCACCCCGCGTGTTGAACACAACAAACCCTGGCTTGGTGACTTTTGAGTCGACTCAAAAGTCACCCCGCATGTTGAACACAACAAACCCTGGCTTGGTGACTTTTGAGTCGACTCAAAAGTCACCCCGCATGTTGAACACAACAAACCCTGGCTTGGTGACTTTTGAGTCGACTCAAAAGTCACCCCGCATGTTGAACACAACAAACCCTGGCTTGGTGACTTTTGAGTCGACTCAAAAGTCACCCCGCATGTTGAACACAACAAACCCTGGCATGGTGACTTTTGAGTCGACTCAAAAGTCACCCCGCGTGTTGAACACAACAAACCCTGGCTTGGTGACTTTTGAGTCGACTCAAAAGTCACCCCGCATGTTGAACACAACAAACCCTGGCTTGGTGACTTTTGAGTCGACTCAAAAGTCACCCCGCGTGTTGAACACAACAAACCCTGGCTTGGTGACTTTTGAGTCGACTCAAAAGTCACCCCGCATGTTGAACACAACAAACCCTGGCTTGGTGACTTTTGAGTCGACTCAAAAGTCACCCCGCATGTTGAACACAACAAACCCTGGCTTGGTGACTTTTGAGTCGACTCAAAAGTCACCCCGCGTGTTGAACACAACAAACCCTGGCTTGGTGACTTTTGAGTCGACTCAAAAGTCACCCCGCGTGTTGAACACAACAAACCCTGGCTTGGTGAATTTTGAGTCGACTCAAAAGTCACCCCGCGTGTTGAACACAACAAACCCTGGCTTGGTGACTTTTGAGTCGACTCAAAAGTCACCCCGCGTGTTGAACACAACAAACCCTGGCTTGGTGACTTTTGAGTCGACTCAAAAGTCACCCCGCGTGTTGAACACAACAAACCCTGGCTTGGTGACTTTTGAGTCGACTCAAAAGTCACCCCGCGTGTTGAACACAACAAACCCTGGCTTGGTGACTTTTGAGTCGACTCAAAAGTCACCCCGCATGTTGAACACAACAAACCCTGGCTTGGTGACTTTTGAGTCGACTCAAAAGTCACCCCGCGTGTTGAACACAACAAACCCTGGCTTGGTGACTTTTTAGTCGACTCAAAAGTCACCCCGCGTGTTGAACACAACAAACCCTGGCTTGGTGACTTTTGAGTCGACTCAAAAGTCACCCCGCATGTTGAGCACAACAAACCCTGGCTGAGTCGACTCAAAAGTCACCCCGCGTGTTGAACACAAACCCCGGCTTGCCGGTATATGTTGAAAGAGGTGTGGGAGAAGAGGGGGATGGGGGGGACGAAAAAGGAAAAGGGGATGAGGGAGGAGAGGAGGGAAAGGGGAGAAACAGAGGCAAGCTGGCCCCTAGGCGAGCCCCACACACCCTCGTACCTTTCTCAGGGCCTTTCCGTTGCCCCCAACACACACCACCCTCCCTCCCTCCCTCCCCCCCCTGCTGCCCCACACACCCTCGTACCTTTCTCAGGGCCTCTCCGTTGCCCCAAACGAGGACTGAAGCCGGGGTGTTCGTGGTTTCAGCATCAGCTCCTTATCCTCCTCCCTGCACGCGCCCTTGGTTGGGCCCGGGAGGCCATGCCACCACACCCTGAAGACTTTCTGGGGAATATCAACAAGACCCCAGGGTGTGGCCGTGAGGCCGTGACCCCAGGGTGTGGCCGTGAGGCCGTGACCCCAGGGTGTGGCCGTGAGGCCGTGACCCCAGGGTGTGGCCGTGGGGCCGTGACCCCAGGGTGTGGCCGTGGGGCCGTGACCCCAGGGTGTGGCCGTGAGGCCGTGACCCCACGCACCACATACCTCAACTAAGCCCTGTCCCACGCACACACCTTTCTCAGGGCCTCTCCATCACCCCCAACCAGCATGGAGGCCGGTGTGTTCATGGTCTCAGGCGCGGGGCAGTTCAACAGCAGTTCCTTGTCCTCCTCCTCCCTGCACGCACCTACCTTACCTTGAACGAAACCCACCAACACACCCTCGTACCTTTCTCAGGGCCTCTCCATCGCCCCCGACGAGGACTGAGGCCGGGGTGTTCATGGTCTCAGGAGCCGGGCAGTTGAGCAGAAGCTCCTTATCCTCCTCCCTGCACGCGCCCTTGGGCCCGTGCCAGCACACCACCTCCATCACATTGATTGGCTGCACATACTTGCATTGGAGTGACTTTTGAGAATTCTCAAAAGTCACTCCGATACTCTGCTGTGGTGCAGTGAGGTGAACACATACCACCCCTCCACCTGCTGCCCCACCCACCCACGTACCTTGAACAAGCCCTACGCACGTACCTTGAACAAGCCCTACGCACGTACCTTGAACAAGCCCTACGCACGTACCTTGAACAAGCCCTACGCACGTACCTTGAACAAGCCCTACGCACGTACCTTGAACAAGCCCTACGCACGTACCTTTCTGAGAGCCTCTCCGTCCCCTCCAACCAGGACTGAGGCCGGGGTGTTCATGGTCTCAGGCGCCGGGCAGTTGAGCAATAATTCTTTGTCCTCCTCCCTGCACGCGCCCTTGGGCCCGTGCCAGCACACCACCTCCGTCACATTGATCGGCTTCACGTATTTCCTCCGGTACTCTGCTGTGGTGAAGACCACCTTGCCGAAGCAGCGCCTGAGGTGCTCCACGTCGAGAGCCACGTGCATGTTGTAATTGCGCACCACCTCCGAGTGATGGAAGGGCACTATGAGCGTGCGGCTGAGCAGGCCGGCTAGCAGCAAGTGGTTTTTTATGCAGAGAACCCGATTGCTGATCTGTTCTTGAGGGGGGAAGAGGGAGCGAAGTGCATGTTGTAATTGCGCACCACCTCTGAGTGGTGGAAGGGCACTATGAGCGTGCGGCCTAAAAGACCAGCTAGCAGCAGGTGATTCTTGATGCAGAGAACCCGGTTGCTGATCTGGCGTGTGGGGAGAGAGAGGGCAGGGAGGAGAGGGAGCGACGCGCATGTTGTAATTGCGCACCACCTCTGAGAGATGGAAGGGCGCTATGAGCGTGCGACCCAGGAGACCGGCCAGGAGGGAGGTGATTCTTCATGCCATGCACAACACCCGGTTGCTGATCTGGTGGAAGGGTAGTTTGGAACAGAGAGGGTGGGGGGTTGGGGGGGTTGAAGATTGAAAGGAGGAGGGAAGGAGGGGGCAGAGGGGAGGGAGAGGGGCGGGAGAGAGAGCAGGGTGGGAAAGCAGCACCCAACCACCTTCCCCAGTACCGACCAGTGCCCACCTTCCCCGGTACCCACCTTCCCTGGCAACCACCTTCCCCAGTACCCACCTTCCCCCAGCAGCCACCTTCCCCAGCGACCACCTTCCCCAAGAACCACCGTCCCCAGCACCCACCGTCCCCAGCACCCACCCGCAGCTGCCCTGTTTGATACCAACCTTCCCCAGTACCCACCTGCCCTCTGACGCAGTGCAGCAGCAGAAACTTCCCCCTGGTGGTGTGCCAAGCCCCGGTGCCTGCAGCAACAGCGCATGCCTCCCCAGTACACACCTTCTCCAATACCCACCTTCCCGAATATCCCCCTTCCCCAGTACCCACCCACCCACCTGGCCTCGCACGCAGTGCAGCAGCAGAAACTTCCCCCTGATGATGTGCCAAGGCACGGTGCCGGCAGCAACAGCGCCTGCCTCTAAGGCAGGGAGGAAGAGGTCTCCCGTGCTGTTGTCGGCAGGGCACTGCAGAATCCCATCGTGCCTGAGGGGGTTGCGGAGGGGTGGTGAGGGGTGATGACGGGTTGTAGAAGGGTGAAGAGGGGTGGCGAGCAGCAAGGCACAATGCCTGCAGCAAGGGCTCCTGCCTCCAAGGCTGGGAGGAAGAGGTCGCCCGTGCTGCTGTTGGCAGTGCACTGCACTGCAGCACCCCATCGTGCCTGGGAAGGGTGGCGAGCGGTGAGGAGGGGTGAAGAGGAATGAAGAGGTGGGAAGGTGGGGAAGGGAGCGGGGAGGGGGGTGAAGGAGGGAGGGGAGGATCAGGGAACAAAGGGAGTAAGGGAGGGTGGTGGGGTAGGTGCCGAAGGGTGTGTGTGGAGGAAAGGTCGTGATTGCAAGCTGCAGCCTGCAGGGAAGAGTCCACTTAAGAGCGCACCAGCGTGTCATCTAATCCGTCCCGCCCTGTTACAGCCAACTCTCAAAAACCGCCTTTAACATGAAACCGGTTGTTTCCTCCACAGTACGACCCCCTCATTTAAAATGAGCCCGAAAAAACGGCTCTAATATTACTCGAGGTCCACTCCCTACCACACCACACCACACCACACCACACCACACCACACCACAGTACACCACGCTGCACCACACCACATCACTGCACCACACTGCACCACGCCGCACGCGTACCCGAGAAGACTTTTGAGTCGAAAATCTCCATCCCTACACCCGTTGCACACCTGAGAATCACCAACCGCAAGCCCTCCACCACGCGTACCGAGAAGCGGCGAAAGTCGGCCTCGGGACTACCGCTGCCAGCAGCATCAGCACCATGAGCCCTGTTACAAGCCGCGACATTCCCAAGGCTGCGATGCCGTAGAGACGCGCGTTTGGAGAAAAACGACCGCTGGGGGTGTGGTGAGGAGCCATGATCATGTGGGCATGTCGGATGCGGTGCAATGGGGCTTTGGCACGCAGATGCTCGGTCCGGCTCGGTCCAGTGGTGATAGAAGATTGCACGAAAGGTTATCCACTGTAACGAATGTTACACTAAAGAAAGGCTTGTTGAATAAACTGCACCAGTGGAGTGGAGTGGAGTGGAGGGTTTGCAAATTCGATCGGGGTGGGTGCGAATACTGGCACGACTCTTCGAATAAAGCGCATCAGCAATCGCATAGCAGAACCATTGTTTGATGTATGTATTTCAGGAAGAGAGGGAGGAGACCGTCGATGATCATTCCGTACTTGTGGCTTCGTCGCGATTCGTTGTTAGTGGAATCAAGCAGGTAGGTGGGTATTTTGTGACCAAGGTGTTGTACGCAATATGCAATTCATGCGCTTTCGTTAGGGTGCGGCCAATGAAATATTTGCAGACTCTGGGTTTGGTTTTGCGGTATGGGGTGATTGAAAGAATAGCGCAATGTTTAACTACACTGCCTATAGGCTAGAATCTGACACTTAAAAGAAATTCAGCAAACCCTAACATCAACGTGATTTCCTACAGGGCCCATGTAAAGATTCGGCGCTCATTCATCACTAGTGATGTACAAATGTTTAACATCACCACATGTAAGCAACCATTTGTGTGGTATTTGTCTGCATAAACAACCCCCTAACTGCCGATTTGTTGGAAGGATCACAGTCCCACAGACTCACAGATGAGGTGGAAGGTTGGGTGACCTACTGTCCCCTAGAACAGCATCCAAACGAGGGGAAAAGGCTTCGTAAATGAGGGTAAGCGGGCGACCGTGACTATAAAAGAAATAGTGCCTAGCCCAGAAAGGTCCTGGTACTCCAAATATTCTGTAAGGAGCCAAGAAAGAAACAGGGAAAAAGTGGCATTCAGCCCACAGCCTCAAACCACACCAAACAATCAGCAGTGTGCAAAACAGGCTCAGGAGCAGCTGAAAGCGTACAACCAGAACAAGCACAAACACAGTACTCACCTTTCTAGATGAGGAGAGGACCCATAATACAGTCGCTCTAGTGAGCGAAAGAGTTCTGTCCTCTGCTGCTGCAATGTCTTCCATACAGGCTGCTGCACAGCTGGTAGTGCTGACTTTACCTCCTCGGCCGCCCACCAAGAGGCAGCATACACCAATACCTCGTCGGAAGCAGGCTTCAAATGGACCTGCCAGTGTCAAGAAATCAGCAGCAGCAGGACGTAGGTACACATGATTTTGCCAACATTAGCCGCAATAGAACACGATGACGGCAGTGAGGTGGACGGTGCGCAAGCAAAGGGGACACAAACGGCGCATAAGATAAAAAATAAACGGGTTACAACTAGTGGTTCTGGTTTTGCTGCCGCACCTGTCTCTGAACTCGTGGTCCGGGCACCAGCGCTGTGCCAGGAGGCAAGCCCAGGAGAGCATGACCAATTCCCCGCATCTCCACACAATCTACGGTGACTTGCTCCCCTAGCAGGAGCTCCAAATGGCGCGTTACTGAACCATCGCTGAGCAGCATCATTCTCCAGAGACGAGGAAGAGAAAGGAGCAGGTCCTTTTGCTCCAAAACGCACTGCTCAGTACCCTGTGACAAGCAAAAAAAGCAGCAGAAAGTAGCATCAGCTACTTACTGGTTGAACGCGCCGTACAAAAGATAACCTCTCAAAGAACAGCCATGTCAGACTCAACGCACCTGCCAGATCGGCTTGACTGGATACCAATCTGGGGACATGAAGTTGATCCATTCGGAGTCCATTGCGGGTTTCGGTCGCTGTCCTTGCTCTTGCTGTTGTCTTAGCTGCATGTCAATCCCGGCTACTGGACTAGGAGGAGGCCGAAACGGGGGAGGGTTGGAAAATGGTCTCGACGGCGGAATCGAAGAACCTACAACTGCTACAGGGAAGTTAGCTGCTCCTCCATTGGAAGATCGGTTATACTCCTGCATACTACCATCTTCTACCGATCGATACTGTGTGTTGGCTTTAACCACGCCTCCTTGGCCCGGACCGCTTTTACCCGGACGTGGTCTTTGATTCTGTTTCGGAGACTCCGACCTGCTGGAGAACGCGGAAGGGTTTGACGACGAGGATTGGCCAACTGAAGGTGATGATGGCGGATTGGCTGAAGGTGATGACGGTGGAGTGGACGGAGACGATTTGCTGACAGGTGGAGATGGACCGATAGAAGGAGGATTCAGGGGACTAGAAGGTTTCGGATCATCATGCTGATCTTTTCTGGAGCCATCGGCGTTATCACCCCTGTTGCTTTCCCCACGCGTTTTGCCGCTGTTGCTACTCTTGAAATCTCCGCTAGATGATCGTGCCGAGAAATCGGGAGGGGTAGAAGAGGACGCAAACACCCTGATCGAAAACAGTGGATGAAACACAAGGTGCGAGACAGAAAGAAGTGACAAACATAAATATTGTGAAGAAACTGGGAGTCCCATTCGGCCGATGCAACGTTATCTCACGAAGAACATAACACTTGCAACGTTGAAACTATGACGTCAACTGGAAGATCAGCAAAAAAGAGGAAACCTTCTCTTGCCATTAAAAAAATCGGGCCTTACCTGGCGATCGAGTGTCGTCTCTCTCTATATCTGTCGTGACAAAGAGAGAACACCGTCGAGCTTCGAAACCACGAGATCCTCCTCACAGAGGCAGATCTATGTTGCAAACTGTTCGATCCTATCGTTTCTACACGAACACTACTTGGACGAAAACAAACGGCTCTGGCCTCCATGCTGTATCGGTGTTGGGTTCGGACGAAAGGAATACGAATCACAACTTGAAACTAAGAAACACAGGCTCGTGCGTCAAACGTCCTATCGACTTCATATTTTGTGCAGTATACGGCGTAAAAACGGACGTTTCCAGCTCGATCCAAGGACGAATGCGCATAACCTTCTCTGGCACGAAAGCCCACTTCTACGAGCCAACAGTCAAAACAGCGAAGCCGTTTGGTACAAACGCTAACCCAGCTAGACAAGTCGCCTTAAACCCACAACGCTCGTGTGCGGCTCTTGCATAAACGAAACCTGCAAGCATTGAAACTTTATCTCTAGGTGTTGCTTCCTTCAGTTCCCAGCGAAAAAGAGGGGTCTGTCTGGACCTTTGAAGGTCCAGAAGCTCATTTCTTGGCTGAGCAGGAGATTCTCGAGGCTATGGTGAGCTGAGCACCAGCAAGTGAACGGCGGTGTTCATTGCTGGTGCTCCCCGATGGCTGATGAGACCTCCTGGAGCGAACAGCCACGAGCGGTGACTCTGTAACCCTCCAGAATCGGGCGACAATTCTGTCCGCTTCCAATGTTTTCGGGAGTGGAGTGACGAACCAAGAGCTTCTTCGAAAATAGGGGGAAGCAGAAGAATGCCAACCAATCAGAAGGGCGTGAAAACAAACACAGGTTGGTCCCACATTCTTGCTATGTAACCACTTATGGATTCCCACGTGTGATAAAGATCCTAAGAACGGGGGACACCGAAGGCTCAAAATGGATGGAAGACTCCCACAAGCTTGGCTTGGCTGCAGCATCTCGAATCTCGATATGTGCATAGACTGAAACCACCACAAGCCTTTCTGACAAGCCCCCGTTTTTATTCTACTGTTGTATAGTTCCTTACATCATACCCATGTCATAAGGCCCTACCTTCTACACAGAATTGTCTAATTGATTGGCGAATACAATTTTTATGCACATCCCACACAACTCTGAAATTTTTTATTTGTTCCTTTCTTTCACTCCATGATGGTCCACAATCAAATGCTGATGGTGATGTTGTTGAATTGTATTTGCATACCTTATAACTGCCTACAGTTAGCTAGTGTACTAGATTAGTTATTAGATACCAACTGCTGGTGGTGTACCCTTTCCCCTTCCCCTTCTTCCTATTTTTACTCCCAATCTCATAATGAAACCACTCTTTGGCCAATCTTCTCTCCCCCTCGATACCATCCTACGCCTAAGTCCTAAATCCTAAGCTCCTTATCTTAACAGATGTACTCACCTTGTAACAATGTTAATGCCTGCAATAGGAACAGAGCATGTGTACATACCGTAACGAACTATTATTCCATCTGGGATGCGTGGAAGAATCTGGTC